TTCATCCTGCAGAAGGCTTGTGAGATGTTTAGCCGTGTGGTTCGTTACGTAGAATGCTTGTAAGGTCATTTGTAGCAGTGCTTTTTCGTTCTGCAGAAGGTTTGTGCGATTGTTTGTATTGCGCTTTGTTCCGCAGAAGGCTTGTGAGGTCGTTTGTGACAGGGCAACTCATTCGGTGGAAGGCTTGCAAGGTTGTTTGTAGCAGTTTGTTTTGTTCTGTAGAGGGATTGTGAGGTTGTTTGTGACAGTGCAGCTTGTTCTGCAGAAGGCTTGTGAGAACATTTGTAGCAGTGCATTTCGCTCTGCAGAAGGCTTGTGAGGTCGTTTGTAATAATGTTTCCAGTTTTGCTTCCCGCAAGAAAGCGTGTTGCATGACATTCAGGAGGCTTTGCTGAATTGAGTTGCTGAATTATAAAGCTGGTGTCGGGCAATCTGACTACATGTACACAGGCGAGTACATGGGTTTCACAAGGACGCATTGCTTATGTTGCGTTTCTATTAGGCAGTGCCACATGGTCTTTTCTGCCGTTGTGCACTATCACTTAGCATGTTAGCATACCCGGGGCCACCCAGCCCACATAGTACCACGTAACTCACAGCAGGACGCTATTGCACCACCCTTCCCATATTGCAGCACTCACCCCCCCACACCACACCATCGAAATGCACATACACATGGCACACAGGCATGTACATAAGGTACCACCATAGCGTGTATAGCATCCCGGCGCACTGTGCAGCGCACACAGAACAACCTGGCCCTCACACACACAAACACACACATGGTGTTGCGTACAGGTCCTGCGGTGTATTTTTTATTTGTGGTGGTGTTGTAGGTTGTTGCAGAGGGCTGTAATTTGTTTTTTAGACCATTGGCATGTGTGGGTTCCTCTTTGTTAGTGGAGCCTTTGGGTTATGCTGTTTTGTGGTTGGGCCGACGATGGAGGGCTCTCCAAGTTTTATCGGACCTATGACGAATGGGGTCGGTGCTTTCTTGCTGGCGGAGTCCTCTGTCTTAGGTAAGTTGCTTCTTGCCCTCCACCCTTTTATGGATCAAATAAATATATGTATATATCATACTTGCGGCGCACCGGCACTGTGCGCTGCGCGGTGCGCTGTGCGCGGACCGAGGGTGCGGTGCGCGCGCCGTGCATCTGGGTGCGCAGTGCGCTGGTGTGTCTGGTGTGCTGCGCGCATGTGCGCAATGTATATTTCCATGTTCTAGCGGTAGATTCATTTGATTTTGTTCTGTCTTTCTCTCTCTCTCTCTCTCTCTCTCTCTCTCTCTCTCTCTCTCTCTCCCGACTTCTTCCGCCGCTTCCCACCATCCCACCTTCGGCCTCTCTCCGCTTTCCGCCATCCACCATCGCTACTTCTCTCTCCCTCTTCCCACCATCTCTCTCTCTCTCACACACACACACACACACACACAAATAACACACACACACAAACAACACACACACACACACACACACACACACACACACACACACACACACACACACACACAAACAAAAAAGCGAACTTTCCCCCTTTTTTTTTCGGAGGCCCTGCGCGGCCTCAAATTTTTGTTCACTTTTTTTTTGTGGTTTATGACGCGACATCCCACTCGGGTCTAAAACACCCCTCCCGAACTTTTTTTTTTCTTTTTATCGACCCCTTGTTTTCCGGGTGCGCTGCACCCAGTTTCGTGTGTCGTGCGATGTGCGCAGTGCGGCGCGTGTGCGCGGTGCAGCTTGTGTGCTGCAAGTATGGTATATATGCATACGGGTAAGTGTGCCGCTTCGGCGGCAGACGGGTGAGTGGGCACTTGGCGCTGAACCACACAAATGTGGCCAACCTTGCACTTTCTATTATATTGTCTACAGGGTTGCATACCTGCCGACCACCGACCACGACTGCTGACTGTTTTGCAGCCGACCAGTAGGGCCGACCCGTCGGTGGTCTGCCGACCAGTCAGAAAACAGCCATCCATTGGCAACCACTGACTTTTTCTCAAATCTGAGTTGGGGGCTGTACTGCGCTTGGTGAGTATAGCCCAAATCCACTGAGGAACTTTGGGGGATTAGAGGAGGAGGGGGGGGGTA